GGAGTTTCTTGCCCATTCTTCTCCACACAGAAAACTACCTTTTGGAAGGGGCAACTAGAATCATCTTTATATATTTTTTTTTTTTTTGACGTTCAAAAGTGCCATTTTAGATGGTCTAATTGAAATAAACGATTTGACTTTGACTTTGATTACATAGTAGTAAACTATTCAAGGGAAACGGTAGGAGAACACCAGTAATGGGGACCACCATGCTTTTTTGGTGGTTATGCCATTAAATTCTAGCTTATGTGAAACGTTGGTACTTTCAACACAGCGCCATCTGTTAGAATTGTGACTATCAAATAATTAACAAACAATTTGCAATAAAATAATATTGCGGGTATAAATTGAGATGTAAGCTATCCTATCTTTTAAGTTAGATCATACTGCACACGGTGTGCAAATTTGATTGAAATCGGTTCAGTAGTTCAGGCGTCCATAGCGGACAAACAACGTGACACGTAATTTATATATATTAAGATAATAAGTGTAGGCATATAAGTGGTGACAAAACAGTAGATATCTTTCAAAAACACGCAAAAATTTTAATATTATTCTAACTACACTAATATTATATGTAGAATTTTCTTTAATATTATATCATAAAACATAATATATACATGAATAAAACATAAGTCTAGAAGATTTATTCAAAGTATTACATGAAAAAAATACAACTTATATCTATCTCTTTCTTCGGTATTGATTTGAAAGAGGCAAAACATTACACGAGGGTCAAAGCTTATTACTTTTGAAGTTTTTGTATAATCTTTTGTATCAATTTATCATCACCCTGGTAAGCGCTACGTATAAAATTCTGGTTGGTTATCAATTTTCTTCTAAATGGAGGATTTTTGAAGTTATACTTCTTTAGGCGCGTTATGAAAAATTGATGAGAGTGAAATTTTACGATGCGCGCGCACCGTGACACATAATTAACAGAATGAAGTTGCCCACGGAAGATGCTACGGCATTGGACATAATTTAAAAACAACATTCGAATAATAATAGAATTTATGTTACACTTAATGTAAGAGAATAATAATAAATATTTATTTATTTAATTTTTCAAATGTAAACTGAACTTTATTGACTATAATGACTCCTTTTCCAGACTTTGATTATTTAATTGTAATTAATTATTTGCATGCAATCAAAAACTATTTTTAATAATGCCAAATAAGTATAACTTCTTACGCGCGTACGTAAGTACACGCACCCTTTTTTTTGTGCATAGCACAATATTTTTCTACAATTTGATTTATATTCACCACCAACCCCATTTAATAGAGATATTAGTCATTTAGTAGTGTAATATTCAATATATTATGTCAAAACGTTTTCCAAGTCAACTAATTTTCATATATTAATTTTCATGCATTTCAATATAAAAACAAAACATTCTTGAAATTCCTTCCAACAACTTTCGTCTCTTTGTATCACATTCTGTTTACAGTGTGACGAAAAGAGACACTTACCACTGTTTAGATTAAAATAAATAAAAATCGTATTTTAGAATAAAATCTAAAGTGACGATAACAGAATTGAAGGAATATCTTGGTCCTTTATTTTCTTAGGACCATCCACATGCGTAAGAAGGAGATAAAATTATGTTTATCGTGTTTTATTAAACGATAATTGGCAGTAGTTTTCTCCCGCTCTATTTTTATTAATTTTTGATCAATAAAAATAAATAATTTAGCGTTAATTACTATTGAAAAAATTTAACATTAAAATTAAAATTCGTCAGATAATTTGGTATTATGAACTATAATTAGAGTCTAATGAATATTTGCTATAAACGCCATCTATTGTTGAAAAGATTATACTTACAAATGATTAATCGGTAATTACTATTTAAATAAATGACAATTTATTGCATTACTCAATGTTTTGTAATTACTATCACATTAACCATTAATTTGGCAGATAATTTGATATTATGAACTATTGTAAGGGTCTAATGAATAAAAATAATAAAGAATTTGTATAAACGCCATCTATTGCTGTAAAGTATTTGCGCTACTTGGTTTTTGCAAATTTTTAGTCACACTGCTTTTTAAAGTTCAGTAAAAGAGTGAATAACAACAATATATAGGTGCCTCATAGCCTAGCGGTCTTATTAAGTGGCAGCTAGGTGAGGGGTACCGGGTTCGATTCCCGGTTCGAGGGCAAGTTTTAATTTAATTTAAATTTGTTCTCGGCCTTTGGGAGGGTTGTGCGGTACTGGGCGAGTGCTTAAACCGTACACCGTACGGTCGAATTTCTAAATACAATTATAAAAATTCCTATACTTGACGTTGGCTAATGCACAAATCGTGCCAGAGCCATTAAAGAAAAAACAACAATATACATAAATAATATTCGGTATTCACATTAAAATAAATATAATTAAAGCATACATACATTAATTAAATTCCTTCTAACTAGTATTTACTATCGGCTAATTGAAACATTCCTATGAAGAAATGTTTGGACGGGTTTTTCGTGTTCAATGCTTCGTTAGTAAGTGGTGATGAAAATTTTTTGTGATTATAACCCACAGCGCACATAACGTGAGACTGTTATGAAAATATTTATGCCTTAAAATACAGATAAATATAGGAATATATATTTTTAAATAGATGCTTCAAAATTTATTAATAGAATTTACTAAAGTACTCGACATTTTAAGTGTTCTGTGTTCGACTTTACGGGGCTATTTTATGTGTCGCCACAGACTGTACCATTGACAGAAATTCTTACATTTCAATGAATGCGTTATGTATTTTTAAATAATCTTAACGGAAATAATGTTACTTAAAAATACAACAAAATAGCGACCATATTCTTTTCGAATGTGTTGTGATTATCAGTCATTATAGGAATCTGTCATTATTTGCCAGACAGCGTGGTTTGACAATGACATATTTCAATTCGTAATGATCTGTGGACGCGCCATATTTGGCCACTGATGTTCACACACGTACCATTGATAGGTATTAGAAATGAATGCGTTATATCTATGGAAAATCCATTAAAAAGCTTCACATATTATATTCATTACATATATAAAGTATAACATATTATATTCTACATATTTAACCTCTCAGGATAGATACCATTACAAGGTTAGCATGTGTTTGAGTTGCCAACTTCGACTCGAGTTCACTTATTTGCTTTGAAAACAGTTTCGTTCGTATCTTATAGACTATGTCCCATGACCTCCAAGCTTGGGGTCACATTTCTTTCATAAATATACTACTTTTAAATTTGTTTGTGGTTCGGTGCCTATAAACACAGTTTTTTAACATTAAATAGTTAGTCTAGCGCACATATATTGACAAGAATTTAATAACGAAGAAAGGCAGACAGCTGTCATTTCAATTTGTACTAATCTGTGGTCAGGACATCTTTCACCATTCTTTTTAACAATTTTACAGTCGGTATGTTTTATACACTTTTAAATTTACATCAATTTATAATTGATACGTACTTATGTGTATAAAATTTGTAGATTCATATTTTGTTTTGCATATTATCCATACCTATATGTTGTTTTAGGACTTTTAAATATATAAATACATAGAACTCGTAATAACGAAACAGTATAGGAAAATTTGAAAGAGGTCAAAAAATAAAATCAACATGATTATTTTTATAAGGTTTTAATATAATACAAATTAAGGGTTTTAGTATAATTAAAATTATTTTATATTTTTCTTGGTTATATTTCTATAGGCATTGATTTTCTTATACGAAATTACCACAAGAAACTAATGGGTTTTGAAGGCGAAAATTAAGTCCATAGAAAAACTACTTCCTCTATTATCTTTGAACCAACGATGCGTGGTTAATGGCCGATAAAAGTAAGAAAGATAATTGAATAATGTTAGATGTTCAGCAAGTAGGTTTTCTTGGGATTTTGATCTACATTCATATTTTCTTTTATTTGTACTATCAGCACTTAAAGGCAGGAAACAGTTTTAGATCCAATTTTTGAAGTGAAAACTTCTTTAGCGGAGTTGTACACTTTTTTTGGAATGGGTAAAAAATGTTAAACTCGCGTCAGGACTAATTCGTAAGATGGATGTTTTTTTAAAGGATTATGAACCTCCGTGCAATATAGTTACGGTTTTTATTCATTTGTCTCTTCTTTAGATGCATTGATGCATGTGGAATTGGACCTTAAGTCAATACATCAAGGTTTACTTTTGCGAAACGTGTAAAGCTTTATTATTAACGATTTGGTCAGACTGACGCGAATAAAAAATGGCAACTTAAAAAATAGTGAATTTTCCTAATTAATTGGTATTATTTATTTAATACCAATTTTAATTATTTTGTGTAGGTTTCGTAAGACGGATAGAGAGTAGACAGCTGGCGCGGCGTATTTAATGTGATTTAAATTGTCATGTTTGTGTACGATAGCGGAATAAATAAATATCGTATTCTACCATAAAAATGATAGTACTTTTTTATGATTGGACAATTCACTCCAATTGACCTAGTCCCATGCCAAGCTGGTGAAGCTTGTGTTATGGGTACTAGGCAATGGATATATATACATATTGTAGATAGATATATAAATTCACATTTAAACATCCAAGACCTAAGCACAACATCAAATGCTCATCACATCGATGTTTGTCTCAGCCGGGGATCGAACCCGGGACCCATGGATTCGCAGTCAGGGGTACTAACCACTAGCCGTCGATTTTATACTGATAATTAAAGCAATTCGTGCAAAATTATTCCCTAACTATTCCAAAATACCAAAAATGCTAATATTTAAGTTTTCACTTCTGCCCGGCACTCCCGGAGTGCAACCCGTAGTTTTTATACTTTTTTTTATGTAATAGGAGGCAAACGAGCAGGAGGCTCACCTGATGTTAAGTGATACCGCCGCCCATGGACACTCACAATGCCAGAATGCTTGCAAGTGAATACTACTACTACTACTACTCTACTTATCTCTTATTTAAATTAGAATTTTTAACGTATTTTTCTTCTTGTTCCAGGTCCCGCCAATAGATTATCTACGTCAAGTGACGCTGGATCTTGGTGGCGAGGGTGTGCTGGGAACAGTCACCGAACGGCATATGATAAGGCGCCCACCAGCCACCCATACACCAACAGTGAAGAGCAGCGTCCGGTCTCTCATTCGTAGATTTAACGAGGTAAGTCTTTTTTGTTTGGGCAAACGGGCAGGAGGCTCACCTGATTTTAGGTGATATCGCCTATGGGCATTTTTAATGCAAAAATTGGTAAATATACAACAGGGGTAAACGGGGAGAAGGCTCATCTAGGCAGTACCAATTAACATCCACTGATGTTAAGTGGTACTGTCTAGGGACACTCAATGCCAGAGGGCTCGCGAGTGCGTTGCCGGCCTTTTAAGAATTGGTACTTATAGAACAGGGGGTAAACGGGCAGGATGCTCACCCGATGTAAATGATAGCGCCTATAGACACTTTCAATGCCAGAGGGCTCGCGAGTGCGTTGCCGAACTTTTAAGAATTGATACTTGTAAAACAGAGGGTAGAAGGGCAGGATGCTCATCTGATGTAAAGTGATACCACCAATAGACACTCTTAATGCCAGAGGGCTCGCGAGTGCGTTGCCGGCCTTTTAAGAATTGGTACTTATGGAACAGGGTGTAAAAGGGCAGGATCCTCATCTGATGTTAAGTGATACCACCAATAGACACTCTTAATGCCAGAGGGCTCGCGAGTGCGTTGCCGGCCTTTTAAGAATTGGTACTTATAGAACAGGGAGTAAAAGGGCAGGATGCTCACCAGATGTAAATGATAGCGCCTATAGACACTTTCAATGCCAGAGGGCTCGCGAGTGCGTTGCCGGCCTTTTAAGAATTGGTACTTATGGAACAGGGTGTAAAAGGGCAGGATCCTCATCTGATGTTAAGTGATACTGCCTATAGACACTCTTATTGCGAGTGCGTTGGTCTCCCTTTAAGAATTGAAAATTAAATATATCAACTTAATATTTTAAAGAAAAACTAAATTGTTACTGATAAATAAAGTCAGTTTTTAAGCTTCTTAAAATATTTCCTTACACCCTCATCACCACCCTCTGGTGGAAGATGTCTACATCTTCATCAATTGTATTGTAGTTAGCTCGTGATGAAACAATTGTGAATATCTTGTCTCATACGGTCCCCCTCTTAAAGAAATTGATATCGTCAGATATCAAATCAAATTCTATCAAACAAAAATTGTTGTTTGAAAAAGGTTTGAATACGCAGAAACTATAGACAATAGAGCAAAGTGATTTACTTTAATTTTGTAGAGGACATCAATATCTACAAAAAAGCCTCAGATACCATATGTCTAACAAAAAGTTTTTTATTTAAAAGTCTATTTCTAGATAAGCTTAGAATAGAATTGTGCTACGACCATATTAATGTGAATACGCTGCGGAAACTATAGACAATAGAGCAAAGTGATGTTCTACAGTTTTGTAGAAGACATCAATATCTACAAAAAAAGTCCACAACACCGTATGTCTAACAAAACGTTTTTATATTTAAAAGTCTATTTCTAGAAAAGCTTAGAATAGAATTGTGCTACGACCGTATTTATGTGAATTCCAATAAAAATCCTAAATCGCGTACGCCGCAGAAACTATTGACAATAGAGCAAAGTGATGTTCTACAATTTTGTAGAAGACATAAATATCTACAAAAAAGTCCGCAACACCGTATGTGTAACATAAAGTTTTTTTATTAAAAGTCTATTTCGAGACACGCTTAGTATAGAATTGTGCTACGACCGTATTTATGTGAATTCCAATAAAAATCCTAAATCGCGTACACCGCAGAAACTATTGACAATAGAGCAAAGTGATGTACTACAGTTTTGTAGAAGACATCAATATCTACCATATAATAAATAACCAGCCATGTAAAGCCAGCTATATCTAAAAAGCACCAAAATTAATGACAATTTTCGAGTCTAATTTACACTCAAACATCACTCTTCAACGCTTATCAATCACTTGATATTGGCTCAGGTTTCATTAAACAAACTTTGAACGCGGCTTCGCTCTGTTGCTATTTTACAAGGGCGTCTCCTGCGAGACTCGGATCTCGGAGGCTGTCAAGAGGTTAATAGCCTGAACGGCTTTTTAGGGTTTCTTACTCTGGTCTGAATAGGCTTTGCCCGCGCGGCCATCAACAAACATACAACTCGCTTCGGGTGCAGTATAATAACGCATTTAGGGTGTTGCTGGGGCTGCCTCGCTTCTGCAGTGCATCAAGAATGTTTGCAGAGGCGCGGGTGGATTGCTTTTTCGCCACTATGCGAAAGCGGTGCGCGTCTTTGGTGCGCCGGGTGCGAGGAACAGCTCCGCAACATCTTACGGATGATAGTCGAAAGAATGGAGTGCCCCTATTTACGACACTGCTCCGACATCTCCGCAGGGCTTTGTACCTAATAGTTTTTATTTAACTACTTTTTCCTTATTTTTACTAATTCTCTAACATAGATCTTAAGAAACTATTGTTACTAACTCACTAATCAATCAATCGACTGTATTTGTCTGATTAATAAAAATTATTATTATTATTATTATTATCATGGATTTGAGACCTGGACAAACACATATTAACTCATTCAAGCGAATCAAATCGTCGACGACCAGTCACTTTCCGAGCGGCTTGATCCCTTGATCGGTAGAGATGAAGAGTCTCTTTGCATCTTCTACCGCATTTACCATGGAGAGTATTCAGAGGAATGGTTCGCACTAATACCAGCAGCTGAGTTTCATCATCGACATCAAGGCGGAATTCATAATACCATCCGTATCACCTCGACGTCCGTCGTTCCACAACTGAGCGTTTCTAAAGACAGTTTTTGCACCACCACTATGTGGAACCAGCTGCCCACTGAAGTATTTCCGAAACAATTCCACTTACGGTCCTTCAAGAAAAGAGATTTCCTACGTTCTATGTCCCTTGCTTAGTGATCTCTACTGACATGTTATCTGGATCTGGATGTCTACCCAATTTATCCAATTTTAATGCATATAAAATTTCTGCTTTTTGAAGTTTCAAACTTCAATAAAATCATTTACAGGTTTGAATAGTTTTATTTTAGATAGATTCACTATCAAAGACACTTATAATTTCTTTTCCAGAATTTCTTTTGTTAAATTAGCTTTTAATTTAAATCACAAATTACAGTGAATACAGCGAAGCATTCAAATGCAGTTTGTGACAGTTGACATAATTCGGAATATAGGTTAAGAAATTATGTCATTTTTGTATCTCTGTCATTAAAAATATATGTTGGTTGAATGTCAAATCATATTTCTTTTTGTATATCCAACAAATATAAAGTATTTACAATATTCTCAAAATAGTAATTAATAAATAGAAAACGAAAACAAATTTTAAAAAATTGGTCTCTGTAGAATTGCCTTTTACCCTAATCAAAAATTTATTAAAATTAATAATTTTAAGGTATGACTTAAAGTATGAAAAATTTCCTTTAATATCGCATTAAAAGATTATAATTACGAAAAAAACGACTATCAGTATCACCTCAACATCTATCATTCCACAACTGAACGTTTTAGACAGTTTTTGCCGCGCAACACCATGTGGAACCAGCTGCCCACTGAAGTATTTCCGAACCAATTCGACTTAGGGTCCTTCAAAAGAGCGTACCAATTCTTAAAAGGCAGGCAACGCATTTGCGAGCCCTCTGGCATCGAGAGTGTGCATGGGCGTCATAATATGAGGTGACTCCCTGCCTATTTGTAATATAAAAATATAAAAAAGTGTGTGCGTACAAAGTACAAGTGAAACTTCTTTGTAAATTAATTATTACTAAGGTAAAAGCTCCAATAGATGATCAAGTACCAGTATATGATCACTCCATGTATTTGTATATCTATATACACTGTATACGTGCTAATCATAATATAAAAAAATAAAAAATCTGCGTTCACTGCACAAGAGGTTATGCGACAGAATTGCCATCTAAAGTTCTAATATGTAACTAAACGAATACATCAACCAATAGCGTGTATTTTTCTCGATCTCCCTTACTCTCTCTCTCTCAATCTTTTTGACTATAGCTCTCTCCTACCTCTCGCTCCATGGCACTGTGCGTGATGCGACGTTCGCTCTATCTCATTCTCTCTCTCGATCTTTCTCACTTGTTTGCCCCCTAATTTCGCTCTATGACTATTTGCTTCATGCTACGTTCGCCCATTCTCACTTTCTCGCAATCGGTCTCAATCGCTCTCTCCCTTTTCTTCGATAAAAACGCTGCACATCTTCGTGACGCTAATATTATTATTATTGCGTTTCATCCGTAAAAATTTTACCCTCATGCGCCTAAAGAAGTTTTACTTCAAAAATTCGTAGAATTCTCTTCTGCTGTCTAAATAGACAACGAATCTTGAATACTTCGGCCCTACATGTGCAGAAGAGAACTTGGAGAAACTGTGTGTGGATGACACAGAAAGCAAATTTGTATTCTGCCTCGTCAATTCTAAATTTAGCTACTTCTTTCCCTCGTTTTAGAAGCTTTTTCGATATCATATCTATTTTTAAAGCGCGAAATCATTTTCTTATGCATTTAACAAAACTGAGGTGGTGTTTTTGGTGCTGATACAATTTTAATTAATTTCAATGGGGAAAATTACGGAACGAATATATTACCAGTGTGCGATTTGAGATTCATAATAATGTAATAAATCGTATTCAGACGGAAAATTTTAGATAATTTTAATCTTAAACTATTGTCTCTAGTGAGTGGGTGACACCGAAAATCCATCTGTTTGCCCAACTTTGACAAAGCCTCCTCCATTTCTTTCCACTCTGCTCTGTTCTGATCTTTCCTTGTCCATATTTTCCCAGTTACGGTTTTTATTTCGTCGTCTTAGAAACTGTCTACCTCGTTTTGTTCTCTTATTTCTTGGGTTCCAATATATGATCTTTTTGTTCCACTTTTCTATACCTCTTATTTGACCAGCCCATTTCCATTTCAATCTTCGTATCCTCGTGGTGACGTCTTTAATTTTCGTGTGGTTTCTTATGATTTTATTATTCATTCTATAGAATATCATTTAAAATAATTAATTTATGATGTAAATAAACGCGGGTGAAAGGGCACAGCTCGAATTCTTAAAGACTTCAATTAACCTTTTAACATGAGGTTTTAAAAGATATTTTACATTAAGGAGTCGAACGGTTATGTCCACT